ATTGCTAATAATGGTATTATTTAATGAATAAACATGCAGGGAGTCGTGCTGGTCTCAGTTTGGTCCCACCTCTCCCCTGCACTGAGTTTAGAAGCTCTGCTGTGTTCAGTTTGCACTAAACAATAAAAAAGCCTCATCCTCAAGAAGTTTCTCATTAGATTCTCTAAGTCTGTGATTCTCTGAATTTCTGTAAACTTCTCCTTTTGATGCTTTGATTACTTTGGGTTTTTTTCTGCCAAACGAAATAACTTGAAGTTTCCTGGGCAAACAAACATTTCCTTTTGCTCCCCTCTCCTTTTTCCCTGCCTCAGAGAGCCATTGGGGTGCTGAGCCGTGTCCTGCCAGCGTCCTCCTCAGCGGTGGAGGAAGCAGTGAAAGCAGGAGTGGTGAAGAAAATGGTCAAATTCTTGAAAGTGAGTTAAACTCTCTTTATTTCTGCTCGTGTTTTCCCTTCAGCAAAGCACAGCTGCCCCTGGCTTTGGCCTCCTTTCTCTGGGAGAGGGAGGATGTGTCTGCCTCCGTGGTGCCCACTGTAGCAGTTTGGGTTTAGTTTTAAGCTGCCAGGTTTAGTTTTAAGCCAGGGAGGCAGTCTGGGGGCTGCACAGTTTTCTCTGTGTCTGGCAGGATGTGTCTGAGGTGCATTTTGCACCCTTGCTGGGATGCAGACCAGGTTAGCCTAGAAGAAGACACTCAGCTTGGGTCTGGTCTCTAGCAACCATCAGAGCTGATGGTTTGAAAAGAATTGGGCTCCAGACATTCAGGGCATTTTGAAATAGTTGGGTTTTGTGTAATTCTCATCCTCTCTGAAGGTTTTGATTGGATATTTGGGTTTAGGCATGAGGAATACCTGAGTGTCTCCACTCTGTGACTCTGGGCAAGGTGGGTGTGAGCTGTTTGTTAATGTGCTTTAATCCCACCAGGCTGGAGGGCAGCTCACAGCCACTTATGGCATAAAGACCCTCTGCATCTGCACCAAGAGCAGCAGGCAGGCTCAGGAAGAGCTGGTGAAGGCAGATAAAAGTAAGTGCCAACTCCACTAACTGGAGACTGAGAGCAGAGCTGGGATCTCCCCCAGTTCCTGCCTTTCCCTCCAGAGTGGAACTGAACTCTGGGTTTTACTCTGGCAAGACTTTAACCACATTTTCTGAGTAATGTGCTGTTTTCCCTCCTGAAGGGGTGTTTGGTGGGCCTGGTTGTGTGTGTGGATTGAAATGGGCACAGCAGGTGATGAGCCTGAGTTAGGAAACTGCACCTTACTCTGGTGAGATGGCTCAATAGGCTTTGCCAGGGGATGTATTTTGGAAAAAGTGCTGGTAAACTGGAACTGAATTGGGGTGTGTTTCATCAAGTTAGTGGCTAAAATAAGAAACTTGTGATTTCCAGAGGTTGAGGCTGTTTTGTGGTGCCTTTCATGTGTTTATTTGGCCTGCTATTAAAACAAGATGGATACAGAGACAGAGTGATGATACCAGGCCAGGTGTCAGGGTATTTTGGAGTATATTTGCTCCAGTCTTGTGGTATAACACTGCTTAGATTGCTTTAAAATCCAGCTTCAATTAATGCTAATCTAACTACAACAGAGAATACTTAAATGTGCTCTAAATGGTTGAACCTGTCAAGAAACTGTCAGTGTGTGTAGTTCAACTTGAACCCCAAGGGTTTCCACTCATTAAAAGCCTCTCACAGCATCATCTTCCCTTTGTGAGCCCAGATGAGTTTCACTGTCATCTGCAGACGAAGCTTTCATTTCCTCAAATAGCACCAACACTCTTATTCTTCCCTCCAAAGCTCTGGGTATTAATCCTCTGAGAAGTCACTTATTTCTTATTTTTTTGTCAGCTCTGTTTGCCAACCCAGACACTGGAATCGAGCTTTAGTCCCATGACATCAAATTGCATTTCTGGGCCACTTAATTGAGCCCCAGCCCCAGCCCCTGCTGCTGTGGGGAGCAGCACTGCCCTTGCAGGAGATATTATTGCAGCAGCAAGGGTGGGATGAGATCAGGAAGAGGGACCATGGGAAAAAAAAAAACAAAACAAATTTATGTAAATCCCCAAGGAAACTTCCTGGCTGTGTTTTATGTAGACAATGGTCTCTCTAAACGTTTCCAGACTCCGTGGCTGAGATGTTGCTGCTTGCAGAGGTCAGCAAGAGCTGCACACCTCTGCCAAGGGCACAGAAAATACTTTGCTGGTCACTGAGGTGGATGAGCTGAGCTGCCCTGTGGTGGTGAAGGATCTACAGGAAGCTTTTTATGTTCCTTTTCTCAGCTGTTCCTTCCACCACAGCATTTCTGTCTTCAGAAATGCTCTCTGAGTGCTCTGTGCCTGCCCTGCCAGGGGGAGAGGCCAGTGGGAGCTGCAGAGGTGGCACCTCCAGCTCCTCTCCTTGGTGAGGACACAGCTGGGCAGGTGAAGCTGATCCCTCCTGGATCCTGAGCCCTGCCAGGGAATTCCCTTGCTCCCCTCGGGTTCCCCAGAAAGCTCAGCCCCTGGGAGCTCAGATGAGGACAGGAGGGAAGGCTCTGAGTGAATCCTGTGCCTCCTCCCCGCAGGGTTTGCGGTGCTGCTGCGGCTCCTGCAGTCCCAGGAGGAGATGGTGGTGGGAAATGCTGCTTTCTGCCTCAGCCAGTGCCTGGGGGTGCCCGGGGCAGGCACAGCCCTGCTGGGCTCCAACGTGGTGCTGCTGCTGCTGAGCCTGGCCGGGGGTGATGCTGCCAGGGCTGCGGTGCAGGAGAACGCGGCCGTCGCCCTGGGGAAGCTCTGCACTGCTGAGCCCAGGTACTGCCACAACACCCCTGGCTGCTCCATCTGGGGGCTCTTTAGGGGATGACCCTTGAAAAACCAGCCAGAGTAAGTCAATTATAGAATCATAGAATCATAGAATCAGCTGGGTTGGAAGGGACCTCCGAGATCATCAAGTCCAACCCTTGATCCAACCCCGCTGTGGTTCCCAGCCCATGGCACTGATGCCACATCCAGTCTGGCCTTAAAAACCTCCAGGGATGGAGAATCCACCACTTCCCTGGGCAGCCCATTCCAATGGCTGAGCACCCTCTCTGGAAAGAAATTCTTTCTGATATCCAACCTAAACCTCCCCTGGCACAGCTGAAGACCCTGAGCCCTCTTGTCTTGCTGAGAGTTGCCTGGGAAAAGAGACCAACCTCCCCCTGGCTCCCCCCTCCTGTCAGGGAGTTGCAGAGAGTGAGGAGGTCTCCCCTGAGCCTCCTCTTCTCCAGGCTGAACAGCCCCAGCTCCCTCAGCCTCTCCTAATAGGACTTGTGCTTGAGTCCCTTCCCCAGCCTCGTTGCTCTCCTCTGGACCTGCTCCAGCCCCTCCATGTCCTTCCTGACATTATACCCACAGAGCAAGAGGGTGCAGGGCAGGGGGTTAATTCTTCCAACTGGAATTCCCACTTGTGCTCTCCCCAAAATCCTGCTCTGGGGCTCCTGGGGGGTTAGTTCTCTGTCTTCTCACGTTTCAAGGAGTTCATTTGCCTGTGCTGGAAGAAGGGATGTTAGAAATCACTGTACAGGTCAGAGCAATAATGAGAGCAGGATACAAGTAGAAATGTCAGCAAGGAGTGTCTGCTGCTGCCTGCCAGGAGAGTGCCAGGCTGGCAGCTGGGTCCTGGGCTGCATTCCATACAGGGAAACAGAGTTTAACCTGCTCATGTGCATCCTGAACCACTGCAGAAAGCAAGGGGTAATGCTTAGGTCCAAAAATTTACCTGCTGGAGATGCCAAAGGAGCTCTAAAGTATCTGCTGTGAGGTTTGTGTAACACACCAGAGATAGAAAAGGGAAACACCTTGTTTTTCTTAGTTTTGTTGATGTGAAATGCCATCTATTTAAGAATGGTCAGGCATTATTTATTTTCCTTTCTGAGGGGAATAGTAATCTGGGAACTCTTGTTTCTTGTGCTGCTTTCAGAGGGATTTATTGAATATGGCATTAGACACCCTTGAAGGTTTGGGCAGGGCTATGGCAGGGCAGTGAAAGCTTCAAACTTTCATTGTAGTCACCATCCATTTCCCAGAAAGCTTCCTGTTGTCTTTCCAGGCACATTCAGCAGCTGAGGAAGCTCAATGGCCTGGCCATCCTCAACTCCTCCATGAAATACGTGCACAGCAGCTGAGCCCTTCAGGAGACCTTCCAAACCTGTTCTTCATCCCACTTGTTGTTGAGTATTCTTTTCTTTAATAAAACTAACTCAAAGCACATCAGCTTCTTAGTCCCTTTTTGAAGCATTTGTGGTCCTGCAAGGAAGCCAGTAAAACAATATCAATATCAGGAGAAAGAAGTTAATTTATTATTTAGGCTACCAACTAAAATAACAGCTTGCATTAGGCTGCCTTTGCTTTAATAAATGACACAATAAATGGCTAATTTTTTTGCCTTGTTTTTAAACACAGGAAACAAAAGAATATATTGCATTTATATGAATAACCACAGGCCAGTCATGTTTGACTTTAAAATGGCTCTTCAGCTTCCCTCCACGACACCTGTGGGTGTCTATTCTGGGGGTAATCTTGTCCCTCCAGAACAGTGGCTGACAAATTATATATCATCTCCTTTTCAAAATAGCAGCTGAATCATCTTCCCACTTGAGGAGAAGGAAATTCTCTTGCACCTGGTTTTTCTCCCCTTGCAGTGAAAAGCGCAGAATTGATAATCTCAATTTAATAATCTCTCTGGCTTTTTTAGGATACTTAAAGCTACACCCTGCCTAGACAAACATGTGACAAATCCTGTGTGTGTGGGTTCAGTCCAAACAGGCACAAACCCCAGGGTTTGTTCCTGAGAGGGTTCAGTGCCTCGGGTCAGGGCACAGATTGCTGGGGGCAGCTCTGGGGTGGAGGCACTGCCTGGAATTGTGTGTCAGGGGCTGCACAAACGCCAAAAGCCAGGGGGATTTTTCTCTCCCAGACAACTTTGAGAGTGGGAAAAAGCCGAGGTGACCTGCCCTTGGCTCCCAGCTGGAGGTGAGTGTCTGTCCTCCCCCAGGCTCCACTCGAGCAGCTTGCTGAGGGATGGATCAGGGTGTGTTGGTGCCTCCTGCCAGAGCCATCCCCTCCTCCCCAGTGTCCCTCCCTGTGCCTTCCCCAGCTGTCACTGTGCTGCTTATCTGCCTCGTGCTCATGTTCTCTCTGCTCTCAGGGCAGCCAGGGCTGTGTGATGCTGTTCTCTCCTTCCCCTCAGCCCTCCTCCAGGAGTTTGGCTGGCTGGGTGTGTTTGTGCAGGTGCCTGGCACTGGGAGATACCTGCTGTGTGCTGCTCGTGTCTGCAGGGGAAGGTTTGAGAGGACTCTGGGGCTTTATGGCTAAAGGAAAAAAGGGTTGTGTGTGTGTGACTCGGCCCAGGAAGCCTCTGGTCTCTTCTTTGGCTGTTAGCAAAGTTTAAATTCTGTTAGGAAAGTTTAAATCCTGTTAGGAAAGTTTAAATTCTTGTTCTTCCCCCGTGGGTCTCGTTCCCCCCTCACCCAAATGTCAGGTCAGGCTGCCCTGAGCCAGCTGGGGTTTGTTGCTGTGCTGTCACCTCCTCGACGTGTGGTGGCTTTTCTCTGTGGCTCCTGAGTGGAGAACACACTTTGCCAGTGCTTGTAGGCCTGGGGAAGAAAGGATCCAGCAGCTGGATTCCTCCTCTGGAGCCTCACCCTGCCTGGAGGGTCACAGGGACAGTGTCCATCTCCTGGGGTCACTCCAGGCTTTACTGGAGTGTCTCCATCTGGGATCCAGGCTGATCCCTGAGTGTGTTTGTATCAGCACAAACTGGCAAAACCTTCTGACCCTTATTGGGTAGAATTAGAATTGTAGAATAGTTCAGTTAGAAGGCACCTGCACCATCACACAGTCCCAGACCCTGAGCTCTCAGGGCTGAACAGCAGTGCCAGAGTGTTGTTCAGGGCATTGCTCAAATGCCTCTCAAACACTGGCAGTTTGGGGCAGGGACCACCTCTCCTGTTCCAGGGTTTGACCCCCCTCTTGGTGAAGGAATGCTTCCTCCTGCCCAGTCTGAACCTCCCCTGCTGCAGTTTTGAGCCATTCCCACATGTCCTGGCACCGGATCCCGGGGAGAAGAGCTCAGCACCTCCCCTCCCACCCCCTCCATGTCCCCATCCCCTCCTCAGGAAGCTGCAGAGAGCCAGGAGGTCACCCCTCAGCCTCCTTTTCTCCAAGCTGGACAAACCCAGAGCCCTCAGGCTCCCAGGAGGTGCCTTCCAGCCCTGCCCCAGCTCTGTTGTCCCCCCCTGGATACACCCAAGCACCTTCACATCCTTCCCACAGCACCCCAGGTAGCATTTTAACTCCTTCCCCAGGGCTAGAGCTGCCTTGCACGAGCAGCCTCTCCTGTTCACAGCCACTTTTCCCATCTTTGGATTGCAAACACACGAACACACTCTCTTCTTTTGTTAAAAATCAATTGATTCCAATTGGTGCAGGTTTTTTTTTTGGAACAGGTTATTGGTTGCTGTCTGGCCTAAGCTCTTATAAAGTAACCCAATACTCTGCCCTTCCAGAGCAAGCAGCAAATGCCCAGTTCTGGGAGGCAGCAGTGACTCCTCGGGGAGCTGCTTCTTGTCAGGGATGTATTTTCTTGGGATGACTCAGGAGCTGCTTCACGGGATGCAGGAAAAACTCCCCATCTTTGTCCTGATTGCAGCTGGACTGTTGGATTTGTCTGGTGAGTGATGTGTTTTGTTCTGATCTCTGTTGCTGCTTCTCTGCCTCGTTTCCTGCATTATCAGCAAGCACAGAAAGGATGCTCAGTGCATGGGACAACTCTGGGATGCAGGAGCAGCTTCCCTCAGGATTTGGGGGCTTTCAGCTGGGGGGTGTTTGTGGCCCCACTCAGGACATTCCTGTGCTGTTTTACCTGAGCTCACAACCAGTCCCCAAAATAGATATTTTCTCTTCAGGGTGGGGAAAAGCAAAGCAAAAAGTCCCTTTTCCCAGAGTAGTTCCAAGCAGCACTGAGGATCAAACTGGTGAAACCTTGTTCAGAATCCCCTTTTCCAGGCACCACAGTTCATCATCTTAAGCCTGATAAGAATTCTCTACCTGATTAACAATTTTATTCTCTTCGTGGGTTTTGTTGTGTTTCTTTAAATTACCTTGTCCCCCTGCAGGGTGTGTTTGTGGCTGTTCTCACCACTTTAAGACCTCAATTCAGTGCTTGTCTTTATAGACAGATCACTTGTGTTGGGGCTAAACCTCAATTCAGTGTTTGTCTTTATAGACAGATCACTTGTGTTGGGGCTAAACCATGGGAGTGTCAGTTGTTTGTACAAAACCCACAGTTTAAAGCATTTTATGGATTTAACATACCCATCTCCATCACCTGTTAACCTCCATCCCTTTTTTAGCAATAAATCAGCTTTTTGAGTTCCATCAGATCAGCTTTTCCTGCTCACTGCAGTCTCAGAGCAGTGCTGGTTCTCCAAATGTCCATGGGGACACTGGAATCTTGAGGCACCACACCTGGATGCCAACCCCAGGGATTTAATCTGCCAAAGCTCTGCTTTGCTTCTGTCAAAAAAACCCACAATTTAAATGCATAACACTCAAATGCATAATCACTTTTTATAGCTTGTGGATCAGCCTGTTTCCTGGCAGGTGCCTCAGGGAAAAACGCTCCAAGTTTTGGGAGAGGAAAGTACAATAAATGTTTTAATCGATGGCTTGGAAATGATACCTGGGAAGGTCAAAGCTTCTGAAGTGAAGACAAAAAAAAAGCAAAAACGTGTGGACAAAAAGACAACCTTTTAAACCCAGGGTCTGCCTTTTAAACTGGCCAAGTGTCTGCTTTTGATTAGAGAATATAAGGGTAGAGAAGTTGCTGTGTTCTGTCTGCTCTGTGTCAAACCAAACCAGCTTTGTGCTGCTGCTCCCCCAGCGTGGGTCAGGAGCTCCTCGTGGGATTGGGGTGCTGGGGAAGGATGAGAGTTAAAGCAGAGCCACTGAGGAGCTCCCTCGGGGGTGTTTTAGTCTTGCTTTGCTGTCCTTCGGCAGCCTGAGGGTTTCCTCCCCCTGCACCTTCAGGTGTTTAGATCCTTGCATGGGGAAGGTGAAGGGCTCCCCCCTGGCTGGGGAATGCTTTGGGTCCCTCAGAGGGTGCAGAGGGTCAGGTCTGTCCCAGCTCTGGGACAGGGCAGTGCCAGAGCTGCCCACCCTCCCCGTGGCTCTGTGCAGGCAGCAGCTGCTCCACTGAACTGATGGGAAATGCTGCAAACTGTGCAAGGTCCTTGGGCAGCTGAAAGGGCCAAAGGCTTGTTTTCTGTTCCTTAGGAGCCTCCAGGAGTGAACGTGATGCCAGTGACGTGCTGGCCCTGGGCTTCCCTGGAGGGGCCCAGCCCAGAGCTGAGAGCAGCCCAGTGCCCAGCCAGGGCTTCCCTGGGACAGAGGACGACTTGGATGGGGTGACCTTCCACTTCCAGAGCCCAGCAGCTGATCCCACCAAGGAAACCACAGCTGACTCCAGCCCTGCTGCCACAGGGAGAGCTGCAAACAGGACAGCTCTGCTGCCCGGGGGCTTGGCTGGGAGCCTGGAGGTGTCTGAGCCCCTGCACACAGAAACAGCAGCTTCAAAACCCCAGGGTGGACACGCCTGGCCTGGCCAGCTCCTGGGGAGCTCCAGCATCCCTGTGTCCACACAAGGATCCCAGGCTGCCACAGCTCTGGAGCAGCCAGGCAGCTCCCTGCAAAGACCAGGAGATATCCCAGGGGCTGGTCCCAGTCCTGCTGCTGGGCTGCCCCAGCCCCCTCCCAGTGCAGGGCCACACCAGGACTCTCCCCAGTTCACAGCTGTCCCCTCCCTTTCTGTTCTCATGGAGGTGACAAGCTCTAAAACATCTCCCCTGACTTCAACAGTCCGTTTCCATCCCCCAGGAACAGGAACAGCATCATCTCCATCTCCAAGCAGAGCTGGGGTTGCTCTGGGAGGTGCAGGGCTGGGCTGGTCCCCCCCAGGGATGCACACAACCCCCCAGGCCCAGCCTGGCAGCAGAGCAGCTCTGACTCCTGCACGCCCGGAGAGGACCCAGGGTATGGATGCTGGAGTTACAGCTCCTGCAGTCCCACCCCAGCCAGCTCCAGGGGGCCTGGCTGCAGCCTATTCCAGCACAACACACGCCAGGGACACTCAGCTTTCCTCTGTTTTGCCTCTGAAGGAAGAAACCACAGGCAGCAAAGGCAGGAATTCAACAGCAGCTGTAACAGATGGTTCTGGACACCCAGCCCAGCTGCCTCCTCTGCAGACACTGCCACCAGTCCATTCCTCTTCATTCCTGATGGGATCCCCAGTTCCTGGTGGGTTAATTCCATCTCCAACTCAAGGGCCTGTTGGCACAACTGGAGGACAACAGCCCCTGGCTTTGCACAGGGCTCTCAACTGCACCAAACCTGCTGCCCAGGAAAGCAACAGGAGCTCTCAAGGAATCACAGTTGTAGCTCTGCAAGGAGATGCTGATCATGGGATGGTGACAAGTAAACCTGGAAAATCTCTATCCCCTGAGAGCCCACGGGCTTCTGCTACTTCATCCTCATTAAGCCCATCAGGGATTTCCACATTAAAGCTTTCCCAGACCACTAAAGAGCAAAAAGAAGTAACATCTGCCCCCTCTCCTGGAATGTTTGCCTTTGGGAATGCAGACCTTCAGCCCTGGGATTCTGTCCAGGAAGGGCTTCAGCCACCAGGTGCATCTTTCCCTGCTGGATTGCAGCCCATGGGCATCCCCAGCTCTGCTGAGAGGCTTCACACAACAACAACTTCACCCCCAGCCCCTGGCTCTGGGTCTCGGGGTGTTCCTGCCCACCCTGTTCCTCGGGAGGCCTTTGCTGTGACGCTGCAGGTGAGCACAGGGGAAGACTCCAAGAGAAGGAAAGGTCTCCCACAGCAGACAGCTGGAAGTGGTTCTGCACCAGCCAGCCCAGTGCCCAGCCCCTCTGGAGCCCGTGAGAGCAGGACCCAGGCAGGTCCCTGGCACAGCCCTGCCCCTGCAGCCCCCCAGAGCCAGCACTCTGACAGCCCGGCAGCTCCTGCTCCAGCACCACCCCGTGCAGGGGGAAGCCAGCCCAGCTCAGCCACAGCACACCCTGCCCCAGGGGTGCCCAGTGTCCCCAGTGAGGTCCCAGCACAGCTGGCACAGGCTCTGGTGCAGCAGTTCAGGAGGGCTCTTGATGCAGCCACCAGGAACCTCAGCAGCGGCAGAGGAGACCCCCTGAGCATCAGCTCAGCCCCAAAGCTGTCCTTCCTGTTTAGGAGCACTGATGGCATGATATGCCTTCAGCCCCTGCAGGAGTCCCCTCTGCCCAGGACATTCCCAAATGCCAGTGTTGGGGGGCTGGTTTCTGTCCAGCAAATCCTGGCAGCATCGAATTCCTCAGCGCTGGACCTGGCAGACTTACCCCACCTGAGTCCTTCCAGCCTGGTCCTGGTCAGGCCTGTGTTCATCCTGCTGCCCATGGACAGGGCAGACTCACCCTTTCCTCAGGGGGAAGGTGACCACAGAACTGCCCACCTGGGCACAAGTGTGGGCACCCCTGAAAGCAGCCACGGGAGAACAAGTTCCTCTTATCCCACCGGTAAATCTGAAACCACTCTGTCCACTCCTCTGTCCACTGTGTCCAACCAACAAGCAGAGAGAGCAAAGGCAACTCCTCAGCCAACTGATCCCAGTTACAGAACCACCACGGGCATGGGCCAAGCTGCCACCTCAGCACCAGGTCCTTTGCTGGACCCAGGGATGGGGATGAGCAGCACAGGGCAGGACCTGCACCTTCACAGGACGCCAGAGGAGATGCAGATCCCTGCTCCCCCTTCCCAGGAGGCCAAGGACACTGATTTACTCCTCCTGAGCAGGATGTTGGAAGAGCCTGGCACCTCCCCTGGGGCACCATCAGTGCTGCCCATGCAGCAGAGCCCCCACACTTCCCCCAGAGTGTCTCTCACCACTGAAAAGCCACATTTTGTAACTCCTTTACTGCCAGCAAAGGGAATCCCTGATTTCCCAGTGCCTGCCCAGCCCGTGCCCAGCAGCACAGGGGCTGCAGGCCGTGCCCAGCACGGTGGGACACTGCAAACTGCCCCCCCTGGGCAGGGCTCAGGGACCACCCCGAGCTCTGCCCCTGCTCCCTGCGTGGGGTGTGTGACCCCACACTCAGCTGCAGCCACAAAACACCCACTGAAGGGGCTCACAAGCACCAAACCTCTGCAGGCCACGTCCCAAGGGCTCCCAAGGACCACGCTGCTGCTGCTGCTGCCATCAGTGGTACCCAGCACATCCTCAGCTTCCCCAGTGCTTCCAGCTGGGAATGGGCACGGAGAGGCTGCCCTGGGCAGCACAGCTCCTTCAGGAGGGGTCCCTGTGCCTGCTACAGCAGCACAAACCCACAGCACTTCAGTACAACCTGATCTCCCTCAACATTTGGAATTCACTCCCAAGCCCTTTGTAAGGACAGAGGGACCAACAGCAGCCCCAGTGCAGGCTCCCTCCTCAACAGAGATCCAAAGGAAAACCACGGTTCCTGGGAAACCTCTGGCTGCAGTGACCCACCCCAGGGTGTGTTCCAGCTCTGCTGCACACCCACCTTCTCCTGCTCCTGCACATGAGCCCCTGCTGGCAGCCCTGGAAGGTGACCAAGCCCTCCAAGCTCCCGCTGAACTGTTCCCATGGGCCAGCGAGGGAGAAACCCCAAAGCCAACTGAACCCAGCACGAGGGCAGGAAAAGCAGGACCCGGTAAATCCTTGGGGGTGAGCGTGTCCCTGTCAGCCCCAGTGAACACACAGACACACACACACCCCCCAGCAGCTCTGGGGAAGGAGCTGGGGTTGAGTACAGCACAGCCCTCTGTGCCCACGGGATCTGCCCTGCAGACACAGCCCAGAGGGACACAGGGCACTCCCCAGGCCCCCCCAGCAGTGACTGCTCTCTCTGCAGCCCAGGGTGCTCAAACCACCAGCAAGAAAGGGCTTCACCTGCCACCACCAGCCCCCCAGCCTGACCCCAGCGTGGGGCTGCCCAGGGTGAACACACCCGCTGTGGGGAAGGGTGAGGGGGAAGCTAAAGGAGATGCAGCCCCCACCAGCCACCTGCCCACCCAGGCACCCCTGTCTGCATCACCCAGACACCCTCTGGAGAAGGAGCTCCTGGAGGATACCATGGATGGTCATTCCAGCCCTGGCAGTGCCCTGAGTGCCACCGGGCCACCTCCCACAGCAGCACTGGCTGTCTCTGCTGACAGGCCTGGGAACAAGGTCACCAGTCACTCAGCTGCCTTCCAGAGAGCAGCTGGCAGTGATGCTGAGATGCTTCCAGCCAGAGACCTGATCCAGCTCCTTCCCAGCCCGGAGAGCCCCTCGCGTCCTGCCGGGAGCCCGGTGGCACTGCCAGCCCGGGGGGATTCCCTGCCGGCTGTGGCAGGCACTGACTCATCCCAGGGGCTGCTGCTGAACACGGAGGCAGAGGAGATGGGCAGGACGGAGGAGGAGGTGACAGACGGAGCAGCCCAAGGGCTGGTGACTGTGGTGACTCTGCTGGATGCCCAGCCCAGCCCCCCGGGGGACTCCCAGCACAGGAGGGGGCTGCAGCCGGAGCTCGCCGTCCTGGATGGGTAAATCCATTCCCTCTGTGCCATTCCTGCCGCGGGATTTAAGGGTGGGGTCAATATTTACAAGGGTCTGCAGTGACAGGACAGGTGGGATGGCCTCACGCTGACAGAGAGGAGGTTTAGATGGGATATATGGAAAAAATCCTTCCCTGTGAGGTTGGGGAGGCCCTGGCACAGGTTGCCCAGAGAAGCTGTGGCTGCCCCATCCCTGGAAGTGTCCAAGGCCAGGTTGGACGGGGCTTGGAGCAACCTGGGCTAGTGGAAGGTGTCCCTGCCATGCCTGGATGAGCTTTAAGGTCCCTTCCAACTCAAACCAACTGGGATTCTGTGAGTATCCAAATTGCTCCATTGCCTTGGTCACGTGGGTGTGCTGTATTGTGGCTTTAAAAATACTTAATTCATTCAGCAATGGCATCACATAAAGTAAAAAGGGTGGGTCTTTTCACATTTTGGACGCTGATATTGTCCTTCAGACCGAGTTTTCTTTTTCACAGTAGCCCCTGACTCTGCCTCAGCTCCCAAAAACAATCTATATGCGATTTTGCAAGTGATAACATTTGACAGTGCTCAGGTGATGAGGTGCCCTGATGGCAGAGAAGGAGGATATTCCCAGCCAGTGAAACACTTCCCAGTTCCCCCTGGTTCTAGTGGTGAGGGCACAGAGGGGCAGGGGGTGGCTCTGGTCAGGGCTGTGCCCAGGGAGGCTCGGGCACACCAGGGGCTGTGTCCTTCATTTCCTTCAGCTCAGTGTTTGGTGTCACTGAGGGAACTCCCCCCAGGGCTGTTTCATTCCCAGCAGTCCCTGTTGCCTGGCTCTGCCTCACCTTTTCCCTGTTCCCCCTCTCTCCCTGCAGCCTGGCCGTGCTGAGGGACGACGCCTGCGGCTCCGGCAACTACACGGTGCAGCTGAGCCTGAGCCCCGCTGCTGACACAGCCCCCGAGCCCCACGGGCCTCCAGCACCTTCCCCAGAGACCTTCCTGGCCTTGGTGGCCGTGCAGGACAACCTCAGCCAGCCCCTGGTGCAGCCCCTGCTGCAGATCCACTCGTGCTGTGTGACCCCCTCCGCCAGCCCCGGGGCACCGGGAGCACAGTGCTGCCTGTTCCGCAGGTGGGACACGAGCCCATGGCATGGGATGGGCTTCACCTCCCCTGGCATCCTCAGGGAACCCTCTCCTGTGTCCTGTGGCTGCAGGCTGAGCTCTTTGGAGCAAGCTCCAAGCAGTGAGAGCGACTCCAGGAGTGCTCTGCTCCCTCAGCCTGGTAATTAATACCGAGGGCTTGATAAGGCACAGAACCTCAGGGGAAGAAATCTCCCTTGGATTTATGTAGATGAACCATCCCAATTCCCCACATCCATAATCATTTACATTTCTTATGTAGATAAGCCATCCCAGTCCCCCACAGGTGCTGTCCCAGGTGTCAGGGTACAGCATCCCTGCCCTTCCTGCTGGGATGGCACATCCCAGGAGCAGAGCAGTGCAGGGATGGCAGCCTCCCTGGCACATCCTGGGAGCAGAGCAGTGCAGGGATGGCAGCCAGGCCTCTCCACAGGCTCCCATTCCCCCAGCAGCATTTCACAGCTGTTCTGGCCTCCCCTGAGCCCAGGGGAACGGGAGGATTCGTGAGCTGATGTTTGCAAAACCACTGGGGTGTGAGACGTGTGTCAGAGGTGGGTCAGGGAGTGGCTGTCACAGCACAGCAGCCATTGCACTGCTTGTAGCAAAATCAGCCTCCAGGGAACAGTTCTGCTGCCCCTGGGCTGTGGCCTCCACAGCAGGGCAGGCACAGCCTGCAGTGCTGACTTTTGGGGGGTTTTGTTCCTGTAGGGGCAGGGCTGTGGCTCAGACCCCTGCCCACAGATCCCCCTCTTCCCTGCCTCCCCTCAGCTGCAATTTGAACCTGTTTGCCCTTTGCTCCAGGCTGCCATTTGAGTGCAGGCACATCCAGCTGCTGCAGAGCAGCAGGTCCAGAGCTGCCAGCTTCACCATCCAGCTGTTCCAGATGCTGAACCACTCCGTGGCCTACCTGCACTGCGAGCTGACCCTGTGTCTGCACGGACAGGCGGGATGTGAGCAGGTACCTGGGGGGGGCTGCTCTGGCACCACTGAGGAGGGATCTGCTGCTTCCAAAGTCACCACACCAAGGTCCCCCCTACCCGGGAAATCCCTTTGTTCACCTCTGGGAGGGGAGTTAATGACATGGAATGGTAGCAAGAGTTGCTAATCCCCAGGGAATAGAGATTTACACGTGTGCTGGTCCAAGGATTAGCAGCTCAGCTTTTGGGATGGCAGCAGAGCTGGAAAAGGTGGAATCTGAGGAGATCTGTGCCTGCTGTGGACCCCTGGGGCAGGAGGTTCTGTTCAGGTGCCACCAATACCCTTTCAGAGGTTTTCTATGTCTTTCCCAGGACTGCTTGGAAAGCGTGGAGCCAGTTCTGCAGCCCAGTGACAGGAACAGCCACGGAAACCTGCACAACCTCATCTCCTTCGGGCCAGTTTGGAGGATGAAGGACAGGTTTCTGTACAAACCTGTGGAAGGTGGGTCTCCTCTTCTGCCTTCTCTGTCTCTCTCTCTTGGAGTAGTTTTTGTTCAGCTTTTCCTGCTGAAAAAAAAGAAAAGCTTTAGTTTTAACAGCTTTCTTAACAGCCATCTGCTATGACTAGATTATACCCCAACAACTCCCCACCTTTGTTCTGGCCTTCCTAAATCCCAAACCTGGTGGATAATCAGCATCAGATCCAACAGAGTTTCAGCCAGGAGACACAACCAAACCCATCCTCTGAAGGAACTGAAGCTTTAGAAGGAGGAAAGGGGGGGGAAAATGAGGCAGAATGACCTCGAGCTGTAAAGACTTTCCATGCATGTTGTGGTATTTTGGTGAAACTTGTTGACTGAGAATGAGGAATGTCATTAAAACAATTGTGAGAGATATTTACTAATTCCTCCTTCCAGTGCCTGTGTTTGAGATGAGATGAGATTGAGATGAGATGAGATGAGATTGAGATGAGATGAGATGAGATGAGATGAGATGAGATGAGATGATGAGATGAGATGAGATGAGATGAGATGAGATGAGATGAGATGGGAGGAGTCGAGGTGTAGGGACCTTCTTTTAAATATTTTGTTCTGTTACCTCTGAGCTTTTAGAATGAAGGAGCAATGCAGCCATTTTTTGTGCTGAGCTTAGGGAAGATCCCCCCTGTTTAGAGGCAAGGGAACACCAGCCACAGGTAACTGGATTAAAATCTACCTTAGAAACATTTGGTGCAGAATGAGGTTGGTCATAAGTCAGGAATGTTCATAGATGAAATACAGCAGCTGGTTAATGTCAATCAGATGTTGTCCAGGTATTAGAAAAGAGTGACACTGAACCTGGTACATCATGAACGTGAGAGACTTCTTAAATCCCCTGGCACCATCCCAAATCTCTCGTGTCTTTAGCTGTTTATGCAAAGACAATTTACTGGTGGCATTCTAGGGTACAGAGGGCTGTGTTTGAAAAGGCACTGCCCACTTACTGCTCTGGGGATAGGAATTGCCCCACCAGCTTGGCATGCTCTGAAGATGGGTTCCCCTTTCTCCACCCTGTTCATTCTTGCTTCCCTCTCTCTGTTCCAGGTCCTGGCTCTGCTGTGCTGCTGCCCGTCCTGCTGGGCTCCCTCACTGGCTTTGCTGTGCTGGGCAGTGCCTTCATAAGCCTTTGGCTGCACCACAGGCAGAAATCCAAACCCCTGCACTACCCCCCCTTTGGAGACATCCCTGGGCTGTGAGCCTGGAGCAGCTCCTGGTCCTGCAGCTCCCACATCAGCTCCGCAGTGACCAGGGGAGAGCAGACCCTGCCCTGCACATTGTAGAGCTTCTGTAGAGCTTCTGCTGACCTGGGGAGCAGGAGGGGTCCCACCTCTGCCCGGGGCACGTCTCCCCTTCCCTCCTTTCCCTCTGCATGAGCGAGCCCACAAACTGCAGAGTAGAGAAGGGTCGTGGCCCCACAGGGAAGAAGAGCAGAGCTCAGGCTGCAGCACGAGCAGCACCAGCACAGACTGGGAATCAGGAGAGCAGGGGGCACAAGAGCCGTGTAAAATACAGCACTGTAAACTAGAGCCTGCCAGCAGGGAGGACACGGTGCCGGGAAAAATGTGGGAATGTGGACAGGACCCGAGAGCTCCAGAGTTCCACCCCCTGGGCTTCACAGCTCTTCTCACCTCCCAGGAGCCCAGTCCCTTCCTCCTTTTGCTTTCCTCATGGTACTGTTTTCTCTAATGAATTTCCACCTATTGGTAAGCTCCACACTGTGGGAGAAAGTTAGGAATGCCAGAGGGTTTGTCCTTGGGGCTGAATGTGAGAGAACAGAAAAAGAACTCGCCCCATTCACCTTCTGGGTCCAGTTCCTTCACTGCTGCTGCCAGAGGGCAGGTGGGAAAGGGGCCCCTGACAGGGCACCTCGTGGCAAACGCGCCTGAGTGGCTCACACTTCCACCTGGATTGAGAATTTGGGAATCTCCTTGCGAGTCTGGGGCCAGGGAGGGTCTGTCAGACCCTGTGGGTGGGGAAGGGCAGCTGGGGGATGCTCAGGGGGTGCTGTGCAGAGCCCTGCCTGGGATCCAGCCCCACATCCCTCTGTCCTGGAGGAACGGGAGCTTCTCCATCCTATCCATGACCTCCTGCTGCCCCTGCAGCAGCTGCTGGTGGGGAAGGAGGAAGCAGCACCCCTGGAGTGTGGAAGGAGCTGCGAGGCACGAGAAAGGCACCTCTGGGAAGGGATCTCCCTGTCTTTGGGGCCACGGTGTGAATGGTCAGCATGACTGCCCCTCTTGGGTATTGTAATGCCATTAAAGCTGACCCTGGAACGTGTCTGAGCTGTTTGCCCAGAAATGGGCACCCCTGAAAGGTCTGGGGGGGGAGAGCACCCCCTGCAGCCACGGACTGTGTTCCCCTACTCCCTCACCTTCCCCTGAACTCTCTGTAATAAAACCGAGCATTGCAGTGTGTTTGTCTTGCCTGTGCCTGAACATGAGGGAAATGGAGCCCCTTTGTGCTTGTCCTCAGCTCCAAAACTGCGCTGGCAGGTGAGTGCCAGCAGGCGGGAGTGGGGGTGGCCAGGGCAGGACCTGTGCCAGAAGCATCATCACACCTTAGGGCGTGGCAGGGAATTGGCAACAACCACCTTCTAATGGTGTTTTTTTCTCCCTGAAAGGCTGCAGAGCCTGGCTGGCTTTTTACCTTTCCCTTCTTTCCCTAAAGCCTCACAGTGAGTGTAACAGGAAAACAGCTCACACTTCCCCCCGGCTCAGTCTCCCTCCAAGAATTTCTTCAAGATCCGGCACACAGCTAAAAGTTCCAGGTCAAAACTCCGTGACAATTAGACAGTTACCCCGCAGAAGTACTAATTGTTATTTGTGTTGCAGCAGAGCCGAGGAAACGAGCCCCACGTTGTGTTTGACGGTGCCTCACCTGCAGGGAGAGCCGGGTCACTGCAGACCCGTGTGCTCAGCCCAGACAATGCCATCGATCCCTGCCGCAACCGGGGGATGTGTGCTGTGCCTGCTGCTCACGTGGGGGTGGTTGAACTGCTCAGACCAGTATTCCTCATCCCTCCAAACAGCCCTTACAGGCACCCAAGAGCAGGTTTATCCCCGAGGGAGCTGCTCTGGGCCACCACAGTTCCTGTGTTTCTGTCGGAGCATTTTCTCAGGCTCATGGACTCCTGTTTTCACCACATTCTAGTTCTGGGGTTTTTCTCTGTTCTTTATCTATCTGGAGTGTTTTTCCCTTCTTTATCCTGCTGCACAGGAGCCTCATGGATTTCCCTCTTCCTTGCCTTTCCTGCCTCCCTTTGCCCTGTGCTGATGGCCCGGGTGAGGAATCCCACCCTCAGCCCAGTGCAGTTGCAAAGGGATTGTTGTTTGCACCACTTCCCATCTCGTGTTCTTGGAGCATTTTCCCCCAGAGTGCTGGACAGGAGAGAGCAGGGCAGCTCTGGGGAACAGCAGACACATTCCTGGAGTCAGGCCATGCAGCTGCTCTGCATGAGAAATGGGAGGGACAGGCAGGATCCTCCTCCTGGCAGCAGGTCCCAGGGCTCACCTGGGCTGACTCCCCGAGCAGGGCAGGAGCAGGAGGAGCTCCTTTCTCCCCCTCTGACAGCAGCCAGGCAGGAGGCAGAGAGCCAGGCTGCCTCTGGGGCCATGACTGCGGACAGGGAGAGGCAGCTGGGCAGCCTGACCGTCTTCAACAGGGAGGATTTCGAGGATGACTGGGTGAAGGTGGCCAGTGGAGGCTTTGGGCACGTGTACCAGGTGAAGCACAGGAGGTGGAGGACAGTTTATGCCGTGAAATGCTCCCCGTACCTGCTGCAGGACTCCGGCATGGACAGGTAACCCTGCGCTCCCCTCTCAGCTCACGCTGTCCCCCCGAGCTGCCTGCAGGGCTTGGGGGCTAAAACTCTGAGAGAAAGGTCCATGGGGCTGCTTCTCCTTGGGAAGCCAAGCTTTTGGTAGCCAAAGGGAGTGGGAAAAGCGCTGCTGGTCTGGAGTTCTGCCTCTCTTCCCATCTGAGGTGTGGATGTGCAAGGGGGAAGGAACACAGAGAACAGGGTCAATCAGAACAGTTGGGGTTGGAATCTGAGGCTGAAAGGCACCTTAAATGTGGGCATGTGGGTAAGAGCAGCCTGATCACTTGTTTGCAGCTTTCACTGGACATTGGGACTGATGTGTGTCTGTTGAATCAGTCATTAGAAACACCAGGTTTAAAGCTGAGGGACAGAGAATTTACAGCTGGTTTTGCTGGGCTCCCAAAGCTCTGCTCCCTCACTTGCTGGAGCCTCCAGACCTGCTCTTTCCTCTCACTGGGGCACCTGCACCTTCACTTTGCTTTTTGCTCTGTCTCTCACCTGCAGAGACCCTTCTGCTGACCCACCTTGGGGCTGGAGATGGAGCAGAACCAGGCAATCACTGCTGATAACACACATAGTACAGGCAGAACTGATGGAAAAACAACTCCATTGATGAAGTAATTCAATTTAAAATTTTATTCCATTCAAGCTGGGAATGTGCTGCCTGGCTAAAAATCTCCCCCTACTATGATTTCTTATTGCTGACAACTGACTGAGCTGGGTCAGCCTGAGCAGTGACTGTCCTCAGTTTGCACTGCTTATGCTCTGCAGATATTACACTTGCATTTTGTTCTCATTTTTTTTTGGGGGGGGAAGAGTCTAATTAATCAGTTTTACTTCTGCATCTGTCACTTTTTGTGAGATCCCTGACATTCCTCCACACCCAGGTACGTGTCACTGCAGAGAGCTGCCAGAGGGAGGCTGGCAGAGGGCTTTGCTTGGCTGAACCATCTCAGCTCTGTTAGTGGCCTGGCACGGTGCTGTTGGAGGCTCAGATTCGTTCCCAGGCTGTGCTTTTCAGAGGCAGCCCTGGCCCTTTGCTGCCTGGCTGCTCTCAGAGCGCTCTGGGCACCCCAACTTGTTGAGCAGGTTGGGAGATGCAAAGCTGCAGTGGAACAGGTCTGCCCGGGGTGCAGCAGGGCTGGCAGAGCTGGCAGTGAGGGCTGGGTGTGTCTGGGCTCCCTCTGGGACCACATTCACCCTGCTCAGGGCCAGGAGGCTGCAGGGAGAGGTGGAGGCACAGGTAGGGCAGGGCATGGCCCGGGGACACCGCGGGTCACCGAGCTCTGCCCGCTCCTGGCGCCAGGAAACATCTCTTGGGAATTCCACAGAACCCCAGAAAGGTCTGGGTTGGAAGGGGCCTTAAAGACCCTCCAGTTCCGCCCCCTGATGTGGTTGCATTGTCATGAATTCAAGGGGCAAATTGGGATGGATCTTTTCGGGGTGGGCAGAGCTGCTGGGAAAGGTTGGATCTCACTGGGCTGCTGCAGAGTTCCTGAGCCTGGGAATCAACTGAGGCAACTGCTTGGTTCCACTTTCTATTTTATTTTTTATTTTCACTTTTCCAGGACCAGCATGAACTGCCTCATGGAGGAGGCAACCAAGATGGAGAAAATCAAATTCCAGCACATTGTCACCATCTACGGGGTCTGCAACAGCCCTCTGGGGATAGTGATGGAATACATGGCCAGAGGGTCCTTGGAGAAAATCCTGCCCACTCACAAAATGTCCTGGCAGCTCAAATTCCGGGTTATCCACGAGATGGGCTTGGCTATGAACTTCCTGCATAGCATGACACCCCCTTTGCTGCACCTGGATCTCAAACCAGGGAACATTCTCCTGGATGGGAACATGCACGTCAAGGTATGACCTCACTGGGTGTTGGAAGGGACAGGTTCTTTCTCGAACAAGGGAAAGGTTATTTTTGCCAAACAAGTGCAGAATCCTGGTATATCGAGTTCTTCAGGAGCACTCCATGAAAAATTGGCCAGTGGGGCTTGTAGGAAGCAACTGGTAAACAAATGACATGATAATCTCGAGGTCATCCCGGGAATCTGTGCCAGACCTGGGAATTTAAGGCTCCAGCCTAGGAGGAGAGGCTGCTCTGCTGGACCCAGTGGCAGGGACTGAGTGCAGTTTAACAGGGTTTTATCAAGTCTCAGTGCCTGGCCCCTGCCCCTGTCCCTGATCCCGAGGGAGGGGGGCACGTCCCAGCTAACAGGAGGAGGGATGAGGGATGAGAATTCCAGAGCTCTCACTGCTTGTGCTCGCAGATCTCAGACTTTGGGCTTTCCAAATGGATGGAGCAGTCCAGCAGGATGCAGTACATCGAGAGCTCTGCTCTGAGGGGCACTTTGAGCTACATCCCCCCCGAAATGTTCCTGCAGAACAGCAAACCCCCGGGAATCAAATACGATGTGTACAGGTAAGGGCTGCCAGAGGGCACACAGGGAGCTCCCTGAGCCCTCCCACAGGGCCAGAGGCACTGCACAGCCCCTCATTCTGTTTAAATCCTGGTTTATAACGTGGGGAACAGCCTGGGAGTGATGGGATGTCCCCACCTCAGTGCTGGAGACAGAGGGAGGGG